AACCGCCTTCTGGAAAAGCTTCACAAGTACGTCGGTACGCAAATGCGCTTTGTGACACAAGTGACGGTACGCATTTCAGAGTATTGCCGCGCATGCGCACCTGCGTACCATTTATGTGCACCCCTGTGTGTATACTTTATTAATCCCACATTGGGAAATTATTTTGTTACAAAACCAGTGTGCTGAACATTAAAATAAAAATACTTAATATAGGTATTTCTATTAGTATACTAGGTGCACCAGAGAGTATCCTGACTGGCTGCATCACGGCCTGGTATGGCAGCTGCACCACCCTCAATCGTAAGGCTTTACAGAGGGTGGTGAAAACTGCAGAGAACATCACCAGGACGGAGCTGCCATCCATGGAGGACCTTTACTCCCAGCGGCTCAGGAAGAAATCCCTCAGGATTATAAAAGACCCCCATCACCCCAGCCACAAACTGTTCAGTCTGCTGCCGTCTGGCAGGCGGTACCACAGCATCCTGACAAGAACAAACAGATTCAGAGACAGCTTCATCCCGCAGGCAATAAGACTGTTAAACAACTGAACTGCTGAAACAATTTCACAACATTCATCTGCTACTCTATTATCTATCATTCCAATAACTTGTATATAGACTCGTGTTGCACTATTCCACTTTTTTTTCTCACTTTTTTTAGAACTATTTTTCTTTTGTATTACTTTTAATATAATATACTTTAATATTGCTTTTATTAAAGCAATATTAAAGTATATTATATTAAAAGTAATACAAAAGAAAAATAGTTCTAAAAAAAGTGAGAAAAAAAAGTGGAATAGTGCAACACGAGTCTATANTGTGTGTGTGTGTGTGTGTGTGTGTGTGTGTGTGTGTGTGTGTGTGTGTGTGTGTGTGTGTGTGTGTGTGTGTGTGTGTGTGTGTGCTTGCTTGTGTACTTCATGTGTTGCGTTGTCTCTGGCAGCCCTCTCGGTGTCCTGCTCTGAAGGGGCCTGTCCAAACAGAACTGCAGCCAAAAGCTCCTCCCGGCTGACCAGAACAGGAAGTGGATTGTTTTGTTTCACAGGGTGAGCTTCTGAGGCCTCAGCGATGCTATCTCCCACTTGTCTTGTTTTGAACTCATCCTCTAGCGCAGACAATCTCTGGGAAATAAAAGGGCTTCAGTAGGGTTTTTTTCTGTTCACTTTTATCGTCTATAAATTGTAAGATGATAGTGAAAAACGCCTATCGCTGTTTTCTTCAAAGTTCAAATGGTCATCCTCAAATGTGTTGTTTTGTCCGTCTAAACTTAAATATAAGTGTGATATGATATAAAACAGTGAAAAGCAGAACACTTCATATTGAAGGGGATTTTGGCATACAAATGAAGTTACTAACTAACAATGAATCAATAGTCAAAATAGTTTCTAACAATATTAACATTGATAAGTTGACTTATCATTGCAGCTCCACTGTGCAGTTTCTCTGGAATCAGTAAAGTAATCTCATTGTCGAAGCATTTGCAACTGCAGCTAAAGTGATCACTTTTGGCTGTCTTTTACAGTTTATTCAGTGGCTTTTCTTCCAATGCTTTGTATTTCAATACATATTAAACATGTAGGACATATTTGATAGAACAGCCAAATTAAAATAAGTTGTTGGCATAGCTACACCAGAGTGAGTGGGCCTTTGTGCAACAGAAAGGCAATAACAAACCACGACCAGAGATCACATAAGAAGGGATACAACCAAGATTTGAATACAGCTGTCAAACAAGCCCACACATCCAACATCTTAGCATGGGTTATGCCAAGTCTAAATATCCATGGAAACATGGCCGGGTAACAATATCCTCCCTTGTATCCTTTATTTTTCTTTACTCAAGCCATTTGTTCATAAAATGTATCTACTGTACTCTTACATAATTTATGAATATACATATTTATAAGCCTTTATTTCAGATCTGTTATATCTTATTCTGTTATTTTGGCACTAAAATCCATACACAATAACTTGTTTTATATTTCCCAGAGTCTGATAGTCAATTTAATTACACAAAGTTTAAAAGAGCTGCAGCTATAAGGAAAATAGATAAAGTGATCAGATGATCTTTTGATTGATTTTATTGTAAAATAAATAAAGCAACACATATGTCCCAGTGTTACAAACGTGCATTTGGTGGTCTTGTCAAAACTGTTGGTTGGACAAAACACAACATCATAACACTTGATGCTCTGGGAAATGGGCCTTTTTCTCATTGTACAGCTGTTTTGGCCTAGCTTAGCACACATTCTTCGAGCTAAGCTAACTGTCTGCTGGCGTTAGCTTTTAAAATGTTTTTCAACAGATATAAGTAGTTTCAATCTTATCATTCAAATCTCTGCAAGAAAGCAAATATGCACATTTCACCACAAATATCAAACAATTAGTTATATAGAATACATGCAATATATGCTGTCTTTTAATTTTCTTTTACAACATAAACTCTGGCTGATGATTGGTTAGGACTATGTAAATGTTGGCAGGTAGTTTGAAATACACATTTTATCCCCCAGCCCTGTTTTTTTTAGCAAGCAACTTAGATGATTTTACCAAATCCCCTGATCTGTAATGAAACCAAGCATTAGTTTGATAATTACTTCAGTCTGTTTTTGTGATGATCTTAATTATTCGTCTCTAATAGTTATGGTGTTGTTATGCATTGAAGCAGATATTAAAAGTGGGCGTTGGGGCCGAAAAGTTTTGCCGGGAGCACTGAAGGATTAATTTCCCCTGATAAGTGGGTGCCCTCGTGAAGAGGATTGTTGGAAAGACCGTCTGGCAGAAAGTGGATGAGGTGAGGATCCAAATGACTCCATCCATGCACAGCTGCTCCGAGGCAGCAGGGCTCCGGCTCATCCATCAGCTGCACAGCCGCCTCACCCCCCCCCCACAGCCTGCACCCACCAAACCATTCCTCTCATCTGGGGTTGTCACAGAAAGGTTTTCTGGTTCTGCTGCTTTTATGGATTGTAGTTTGTGCACAGGAAACTGGAAACTGGCAAAAGCATAAATCCGCCTATGTTTTGAAATGGTTTTGTTTTTCGTTGTAAATACTTGCATGGAAATGTTTTCTTTTGTAGTTCATACACCCACAACTCTGTAAGCCTCATGTAAGCATTTCCAGTTTAGCACTGGAACACCCAGGTGCAGCAGGTTGAGCTCTTGTTTTGAGAGGACTAGGATATTGTCTACTATCAGAGTATTCCTGAAGAAGCAGCTGTAGAGATCAGAAGCAGGGCTGTGTTTTGTCTGCTCTAGGACACCAAGTAGTCCTCCAGAGCCCTCCCTCAGGGGTGAGGCAGGACTGTCAGTCAGCTGTCAGAGCGGTCTCCCTGGAGACAGGAAAAGTTTTGTACAACATTATGTTCCTGTTATGTTTTATAAATTATTTAAATATCTGCAGTGCGACTGTTGGGCTTGTTCCTAAAGCATAACAAATGGAATCTCCCAAGAGGGCAAAAAAAGTAGTTTTTGTCTTTGTAGGACTCTTGATAATTGACACAGAACACTTTTTTGAATGTCTGTTTGTGACTAATTCTTGTGAACACCCCTCTCTTGTTTCCCAGCAGAGATGGCAGCCATCCGGAAAAAGCTGGTGATTGTCGGTGATGGAGCTTGCGGGAAAACCTGTCTTCTTATCGTTTTCAGTAAAGACCAGTTTCCTGAAGTCTACGTCCCGACAGTGTTTGAGAACTACATCGCTGACATCGAGGTTGACGGAAAACAGGTTTGTAACCTAATTTACCATTAGCATTACAAAAGGAATATTGTAAATAAGGTCATAAATATGAAGGTGCTGGCTACATACATGAAATTGAACTAAAAGACCAAGGATGCTTGTCTCAGGAAAGTAAAGCAGTAACCTCACCATGTTTATGATCGATGTATAATGATGAGGGAAATCCCCCATCGTTTGGCTAAAGTCAGATTTCTAATTTATTTTTTGTATTTTAAAATGTTCAATATCTCTTTTAAAATATAAAAGTAAAAGATTTTTACAAATCCAGTCCAATGAACACCTCTTTAACGTAGAAATATCCAAAGCTGGGCAGAAAGCTCAGATTGGACAACCACTGCATGGGGGAGGGGTTTAGCAAATGGTAAGTTACATTTTGTGTTTTTGAAATCAGGTTCATTGATTCACAATTGTATATATTACAGAGTAGTGGGCTATAGTGAGCCGCATGTTTTGAATTTTGGGACAGAAATGTGAAACTTAGATTTTCATCATCCAAGTTTAGCACACTGATATTAACATGAAGTGTTTGATGTCTAAAATCGTAGTCAAAGGGTTTTGTCAGCGGGGTTGGAATCTGATCCACAGATGGCTTGAAGTTGTTATGAGCTTTTGTCCTCTTGATCCGACCACCGCTGCAGGATCACCACTGGGCAAAACAGGAAATGACTGTACTTCTCAGCTTCCTGTTCAGACAGGGAACAGGGATGACTGCTGGCAATCCCCCCTCTCACCAGGACCCTTCTGCCCGATAAACGTCTCTCATTTCCTGTTCTGTTCGCACTTAGATGGGGGGAAGGGTTAACTGTTGTGTTCTGGACAGGAAATATAAAGTTAGGGATCCATGGTGGACGTCGTTCTTGAGGGTGTCATCTCAAACTTTAAAGAGGATGGTCGTCCCATGAGAGATTCCCCAGCTGGATTCAGTTTGTGTTCGCAGACCCTTCATTTGCATCCTCCCCTCAAGGACAAAAACATGTTCATCCTCTCACCTTCAGTGGATTGAGCAGACTCTAAAAATAGCTGCTTTTTTTCCCTTTCCTTTCTTCCTCGGCAGCTTAAAAGTGGGAGCATAACTCTGGCTATGTCTCAAAAGTGTGCTGCCAGCTCCCGCCCGCTGCCTCTGCAAACCTCTATTTTGGGACCGTAGACTGATGCTTGCGCTCTCTGTGCACTCACCACAATCTATTGTCCTTCAGCCATTTCCAGTATTTCAAACTTTGGACAATATTTCCCACTGTGAGCCAGTATGAGAACAGAGTGAAGAACAGCTGTTAATGCCCTTACAGGGACAGAAGGTATCTGGTTGGGTGCTTGCTAATCTCCCACTTTCCTTAATTGAATAAATCAGTGGTGTGATGGGATGAGGACAGTCCCTGAACAGCACTGAGAACATAACGGCCTTATAAAGCTGATTAGGTCAGAGCTGCAGTGGTGAGGGGAAGCAGATATCTAAAGAAGGAACGCAGCTGGAGTAACTCATACAAATCAGACGTTATGATCAGAATGCAAGCTGCATGTCCAGAGTTAGTCAGTCCTCACATAATTTACCTGCTGGTATTTGAAGTATTGACTGCTGGAAAAGAAACACACACGACATACCAAATGCCTCAAGGTTCATACCTCATACTTAAAATATTCACTGCTCTTCAAATATGAGAAAAGAAACATGATCACCAATTATATCGTGGCTGGATACATTTTTGTGTGTGGAGAGTCACTGTAAAACCAAGATGAATCCACTTTTATGTGTAAAATATTTGTATTTTTGTAAGTCTACTGCTTTTTAAAGTGTTTTACTCCTTTTCTCCCAGGTGGAGTTGGCGCTGTGGGATACTGCAGGCCAAGAGGACTACGACAGGTTGAGGCCTCTCTCCTACCCTGACACAGACGTCATCCTCATGTGCTTCTCCATCGACAGCCCCGACAGTTTAGGTAAGGAACTGCGGATATACAGTGGTCTTTTGGACAACAAAAGAACAGAAAACCTAAATAAAATACATGATATACTCCTATTGTTATCTTGTTTATCTTCACTAAATCAAGGCAGTTCATATCAGCTTAGCTGTTTGTTAAACGCTTAATAGACTTGATGAGAAGTAGGATTAGTGCAGCTCAAAACATCGGTGCCTTAGGCAGTCTGCAGAGCAATCCATCATGAGAAGCTCTGTGACTCTGCACCGCCTGTCCCTTTTTATAGCCCCAATCCCCCCCCCCTTGTGTTTTCTGCTCACTTCTTGTCTCTCTCCCGGGACAGAAAATATCCCTGAGAAGTGGTCGCCTGAGGTTAAGCACTTCTGTCCCAATGTTCCCATCATCCTTGTGGGGAACAAGAAGGACCTGAGGAACGATGAGCACACACGGAGAGAGCTGTCCAAGATGAAGCAGGTACGGAGAGCATTGAAGGTCAATGTTGATCAAGTGGGATCCTCTTCAAAACTCGGTCACCAAACGCCTGACGATTTGTGCAGTGTGTAGACATTTCAATAGGTTCAATTTGTAAAGTTCTATCTAAAACATTTAAAATTCCCGACAAATATAGCTACACCAGGCATTCAGAGTGATGACAGCACTGCATTAATAAAGCTCAAGGGGCTGCTTTGTTTGCATGTTTTCTCAGGTACTGATGAATGTGTAATCACAAATATGATTATTCTATACGGTGTCAGTCGATTTGAAATCTAACAAAAACATGCTGTGATGTGCGTTACTTTAATCAGAATACATTTATCTGTAAGGCAGTAATGTAATGTGAAACTACATTACAGTTACTAAGCACAAAATGATTTTGTTACTTGCGTAACTTTTCAACTATCTGCATAGCGGGGGGACAGATAAATCAAACGTCCACGGCTGCCATCAGACAGGAAAACATTTGCAAGCTGCCTGGACCAAGGTTATGCCACGATGGAAACTGAGCCAAAGAAAACATGAATGAAAGAGCAGTGGTCTTGTACAGTATTGTGCTTAGTTTAAAGATGTGTGCGGATCTGGGCATAAATGAGGTTGAACTTTATATATTTCTTTGTCATTTGACTCATGGTGCATCTCAGGTGATGTTACAGAGTAGTCCATAAATAATGTCAGTAGTTGTGTAACTAATTACTTTCAGCAATGAATAATTTAGTAAAGTAAGGCATGACTTTTTTTGAGTAACTACCCCAAAACTGTTGATTAATCAGGATTAATTTGAAGACTATTGATACGTTTTGTAATAGTCTCTAACTATCCCTGCTCTACCCACACAGGAGCCAGTGAAGGCAGAAGAAGGCAAGGACATGATCACCAGGATCGGTGCTTTTGGCTACTTGGAGTGCTCCGCCAAGACCAAGGACGGCGTGCGGGAAGTTTTTGAGATGGCCACTAGAGCAGCGCTGCAGGTCCGAAAGCGCACCAAGAGGCGCGGCTGCCCGCTGCTGTGAGCAGACCGGATACCAGGAGATCAGCTGACCAATAGGAAATAAAGAATCCCATTTAAAAAAATAAAATTAAAAAAAAATTTAAAAAAGGACTTACCTTTTACTAAATGGCATCTTAGTACTGTATCTCGCATTACAACTGAATACAGGAAATGAACTTTGTCTATATTACAACAGTGATTAGAATTGAATATTTAAAGTTTGATTTGCTTGCTTTTTATTTCAAAATCTATCTTTACTCTTACTTAAATTGTTCATACTTCTTTTTTGTTTTGATGTAACAAGGCAGTGACATATTGTTTTCTTCACAAGCTTTAGCAGTGTCCCTCTTAGCCTGTATAAAGTCTTCATGTCTCCAGTCTGTCATGCTTCTGAACATAAGAGCTAGTGCCTTCTTTTTTTTTTTTTAAGTTTGTACACCACCATCTATTTCTCATGCTTTTAGCTAACATTTCAGATGAGGGTCTCTCCATTGTGCTGTAGCCAGTGTTGTATTTGGGAGACCTGAGCAAAGCCACAAGTAAGGCTTTCAGTGCTGTCGCCTCATCGAGCACAACAAAGGGTTGCTTGTCATTTTTATTGCATTCCCTCAACATTTGCCATGCTCAATTAGGATAAAGAGAATAATTACAAATAATAATGACATATAAGATTTGATAAGTAGTTTGTAACTATTGCTGATCTGTGCAGTTAGATTGGGGGGAGGGATGAGAACAGGCCAATATGACCCAGCTATGCACAATGACTGTTAGGAGAAACAGAAAGAAGCCAAAGCTGAAACAGAGGGAAAAGCCTAAGGCTGGCGTAACAAGGGATTGTGTGTTTTAAAGCAGGCAACTGAGTTACACTCTGCTACAGTTCCATTGAGCCTGCCCTTGGACTCTGTGAGCTGGTCGGGTCAGCTGAGTGTTGGAAATAATGTTTAAAAAGCTGTTAGCCTTTGCGTGTGGATGTTTCCAGTCCAGTGACATTCTTTAAATGTTTGAGAGGAGTGTAGTCAGGTCCGTGAGGAGTTTGTTTTTGCCTGGTGCCTTCTCTGTTGTGGTGTGCCTTTAGTGGTTCTCTCCCAGACCGCATAGACCAGGGTGCCATGCCAACAAGGATCATGTTTCACTCATCTTAGTTCTTTGAATGGTTACACACAGGCTCAATTCAGCAACATGTATCATAGGTTTCCTAAGCTTTCAGTCCTAACAAAATATATATTTAGAATTAATCCATATATGCAGACTAATCTTTATTATATTGCCTGATATGATAGGTAACACAAATGTCCTTGTGCATCACGAATGAATTACAGGAAAATTACATAACTTGCATCCTCTTTAAGGAAAATCATTCATCTGTAGCTATAAAGTTTATCTCTGATGTTTAAGAGTTGTGTATTATTGCCAAAAAAAAAGTTAGTGCAACTGGGTTTATTCATCTGTATATATATATCCTGATTTATGTTGGTGTTTGATATGTTATGCCTCAAGTCAAAAAGAGACATAGAATATTGTGAAATGTACTTAAAGCAGCCTTTGAAGACATGTCATAGACCGTCCACGTGGTCCTCTCAGAATACTCCATTGAGATATTTTTCCTGGAAATACAGCGGCTTGATATACAACACCTGGAAAGCCCAGTGACTGTCCTCAGGCTCACACTCCTTATGGCATTCCTTCTGTAGCGCATTCCTGTACTCTTCATGTCCCTCGGTTACTTGTTGCTGCCCGTCTAAAGGAGGGAGGACGTTGAAATGTGTGATTTCTTTGATCATGCATGTGATCTTTCAAGAAAACCAGTAATGGCAACAGACCTAACCACCTGCCACTTTATTCTAACCAAGTACATTTGACTAAGTGGAGAAGCTACAACATACAAACAGCACCATATTAATGTTGTTACCTTACATCTTTCTAGCTCTATGCTTTACTTTATTGTGGTAAACAAGCACACCGACAAGGCGAAACTGATTCTTAAAGGCTTTTTATCAATTAAAACATGGATTTTAAGATATGTGTTTCATAGTTGTGGTATGATGTTCACAAGCTTAATGAAGTCAAGGAATTCCTGGGGATTAGGTCGGAGTAGATAGTCGAATAGCTTTCACAGCTGGAAGCACAGCATTCTGATGAAAGCCTCTCCGAGCTGCAGAGGGTCTAGTGTTACACGTGTCACCAGGAGCATGAACAATACTGCTGTAACAGATAATGTTGCGCTTTTATCAAAAGTTGTCCTTGTGATGTTGATGCATGCATGAGAAAAACATTGGTCTTTAAAGTAAGCACACACACAGCTTTGGAAACAGATTCAGCTCAGTTGTGCAGCTTTTCTTTCTTTGGAAGTATTTGAAACGATAAAGAATCCTGATTTATATTAAGCGTATTGTCATGATGCTTTGTAAACGGGAAGTATTGTAGCTAAGGCTAACATGAACATTGTTAATAAACTATTTTTGAGACGATACTGACCTGTCTTTCCTTGATTCTCAGATATGGTTCACTGCGTATGATGCAATGAAAGGAGATGATTAATAAAAGGTTATGAAATGACAGTCTACGACACTATATCATTCAGAAATGACAGTTTATTTATTCAGGGTATAACTATGATCAGAAAGAAACAGATTAAATGAAAGGACACTAACATGTTAAGTGTAAAACAGCGGTAAGACATACAGTGACGAATTCCTGAGACATATTTCCGTGTGCTCTTTTTTTTTTTGTCAGAAAATGAATTACTTTTGTGCGGCCATGGTCCCACTAAGCACACTGTGTTAAATGGCAGCTTTATTCAAGCCACTGAAAAGGTTTTACTGTGGAATTATCATCAAAAAACAGCATTGCTTCTATGCACCAAAATATGCAAACTGCTCTTAGAAAAGTACATAAGCAGAATATATTCTAAATACATGTCAATGTTATGATTAAAGCTCATCGAAAGGAAAAAGGAAATACTGATAATTGCAATTCATTTGTATGCAATTAGATTGCACCGCAAATTGTTATTTTTTCCTTGTTAATTCAATGCTCATGTTTCCACTCGGGGTCCATATGCTGCTGGAGGGCGCTCAGCTCTTCTTCAGGATCTACGACAACAATTGAAGGACACAACATTTGCATTTTCTCACAAGCAGAATATTTTCCTAATGCTTTATGGAAGTGATATTAGCTGGAATTAGTACAGCTGATAAGGCTGAGGTTACAGCTGTACTCACTGTCAGAATCCACATCGATTTTCAGGGATGCCAGTCTGGACACAATGTCATCCTCCCCTTCTGCGTCTTCAAAGGGATATCCAGTGTATCCCTTCTCCTTCACACAGTAGCTGATAAACCTGCACATGAACAATTACAAAGTAAGCAAACGTGGACAGAAGTCCTTCAATTGCTCCAAGAAAAATAATTTGAACATGTAAAACTTGATGAAAAATAATAAACTGAGCAAAATCCGATGTTTAACTCCAGAATAGCTACTTAACAGACCATGTGGTGAAGTTATTGTGTAAAGTACAGTCACATTTAAATGTCAAGGCTCTTAAATCAGTGTCTGGAACTGCAAAATATACACAATTTTAAGACAACTTTCTGCACTCCAACTGCTACTTGGGCCTGTTTCTCCTTACTTCTCCCATGTGGGGTCCTTGTTGAGGATCACAGGGTTTCCCACGACTATCAGCAGGGACCTGGCTCTGGTCAGTGCCACGTTGAATCTCTGCAGATATATACATACATAAAGAAGCACCATATACAAAATAATTCTTGTTTTATTACCATTATATGTGAAGGAAGTAATAGAACAGACCTTTTCATTTGCCAGGAATCCAATGTTGAAGTCTTTGTCCATCTTGAGATAGTTGATGCTGCTGCGGACTGTCGACACCATGATGATCTTCCTCTCCTGGCCCTGAAACTCCTCCACAGACCCCACCTGATACCCACCAAGGAAAACATATACTGTAACATATTTGTAAATTAACACAATCCTGATTTATTCAATAACACATTAACAAATGTGCATTGAAGGAGAAAGATGTTTAGAAGTAGGCCTCACTGATTATTTGATCATTTGTGCTCAATTGTGCTAATGGTTAAGGGTCAGCTACATAAGGATGACATCTAAATGTTTACTTTGTGCGATACATAGTATACAATCCTGTAAGATTCTCTCAGTCTTCAGAGTCATACTCCAGACTGACTAGTCAGAAGTGTTTTATCTCTTAAACTTGTTGTACACAAATATAATCTTTAAAAGTCTTCCTGTCTTTCTATTGTTATATGGTGTTGTTCTTCTGAGTGCTAAGATAACATATCCACGTCACATCAAAACTTTTTTCATATCTATATATTAGTATTGTGCAAAATAAACATTAAATAAGCATCCTTTTCAATCATCCTTCCCCGAACAAGATGACCTGACAGCAGCATTACTAACCTTGAGCTCTTTGAGATCACCCAATCGCTTCAGAGCCGAAACCGACTTCACAGCCTTTTGGATTTTCTCAACCTGTAAGATAAAAGTTATTAATGAATAGCTTGAACTGTTTTACAGCATCTCTGAAGACAGTTTAAGTACAGCACAACGACTCGCCTGTTTCCTGTAGGGGGCGATTATGCCAATGTCTTTGGTAGAGAGTTTGGGGAGACCCTTCTTCCCTTGAGTTTCTATCAGCTTGGTGAGGTAGTCCATCAGAACCTCAATCTCAGTCACGTTGAAGAAAGAAGGACTGTTGGCCTCTCTCTCGTCTTTCCCAATCACTCCATGGAAGATCACCGGGAAACCCTGTAGTGATGACAGCATGACGTCAGTTACCACAATATCCTCATGGTTGACAGGCTATTCGGAGATATTTGTACTTCGTTTACACCATGTCCTTTTTAAGTTTTGTCTTTAATCTCTGCTTACTTTTGGCTTTTGTCCGAAATCGACCATACTAAAATAATAATATGAAAATAAAGAATCCAGAGCTTTTCCCTTATACTCTAATGAAAGTTCCGATTATGTTTCAAAACATCTTTCCATAATAACATCTCATTTGCTGTAATGATCGTTGTCTTTTCTTCTCTGACAGTCTCCGGCTGGTTTCTGTGTTCCATGTAAATAATATATATTTAAACTATATGAGTGTTAATGACTCATGAGTCTAACTATAATTAAAAAGGACACCAATTATTATGGCGCTTTCAGGAAGTTGGGTGACTTTTAAAAATAAAATGGTGGAGATTCCCTTTAAGGTATGTATAACTAAACTGTAGTTGGTCAGTAATGTGGGCAGACATTTTAAATCTAAACACTGCAACTAACTTCAGAATGCTTCACTGTGAGATCATATTGGTATTAAAATGGCCCGAGAATAAAGAAAAAGGCTTTTGCTGCCCCACCGTTTTGGGAAGGTGCTCCCATTTGCAGTAGATGTCGCGCTCCCACTGGTCAGCGAACACCTGCAGTTCATTCTCATAGAAGAGCTCATTGGGGACTTTCAGAATGGCAGCATGCGACCTGAGTTAAGAAAGAAAAACAAGAAAGCTGAAGAGCGTTCATCAAAACTATAAAAGCAAAATGGAGGTAAAAACAAAAAAACACACCGGTAGTTTCGCAGCAGTTTGGTCACAAAGCGGGTGTCAAAGTGCCCAGAGTCTGTACTCTTCTGATACAAAGTGTTGTGTCTCATCAGTCTCTCCAGCAGAGAAAGCCCTGGAGAATATTAACGGTACAGCATTACATTTATATCCTTGAATCGTGTATTCTTACACTTTTAGCAGTAAAAACATGGCATTAACTACTATTGTAGTGTGCTAAAAGAATACATCAAGACAAAATAATGTAATGTAATCCCCCTCGTCTCACCGAGTCCATGCTGCACTGCCATTTTAGATCGGAGGATTGGTCCCAGCTGCTTTGGATCTCCGGCCAGCACCAGCTGACCCTTCTCTGGATCGAGCAGACCTGAGAGATCAGACAGTTACTAAATGAATCCCTTTCACTAGTGGTGATGCTTCTACAAACTTACACTGACCTTTAATCATACAGTAAGACTTCATTTAATAAAACAGTGAAACATGTGGATACATCTTTAAAATGTACATCAATAAACTGTTGGGGAAATATTTTCCTAGGTCCATAACTTTGACCCAGTTTGTACAATGAGCACCTGCAACCTTGGGCAGCTGTGCTCTCAGTGTTTTGTCTCCCTATTTCTGCCAGTTGGCGTTAGCTGATAGAGGTGTTATAGTGCTTTATCTTGGTATGCACAACGTTGATTATTCTCTCAGAACCAGCTAAATACATGGGTCTGGGGTAGAGACCTTCAGAATTGGTTTGGCATCCGTTGTGTCAACTCGTGGCAGCAGCACATGTCTTTTGAGCCGAAGCTCCAAATAAACCGTCAGTGTTTGCCATCAAAGTTCCTGCTCTCCGCATGTCTCTCTGAGTCTTGTCTCCATTGCTTCGGAAGTTTCCATCACATATATACTCTTGAGATGTGTAGAGTATTCCAGACTTCTGGGTAGAGCATTTCACAATGTTTACATTTATATTAATTCAACAATCAATGCACACACTCCGTACATTTACAGAAACCTGGCCGGAGGATGCAGAGCTACAAAGAAAATCTGTCCTCTAAATTCCTTACTCTTCTATTCCTGTCTCTGGACTGATGAACTGCAGCGATCGCCTGTTGTTGGCAGTGATTAAGAGAGGGAGGGAAATCTGGATCAAGTTCTGTACGATGACTGAGGAGAAATCTGTTTAGTGTCTCTTCCACTTCTCTCTTCAATTATAAGACATTATTCCAAGGAAGCATACTCTGTTTTCTTTACAGTGTGACAGACATGTTGACATCCATGTCTTCTAACCTCACCAAAACAATACAAATAAAATAGTTAGTGTAGGACTTCAAAAAAAGTGTTTCGCCAAAACCAAATTCTTGTTATAATATACTCATAACATTCACACTGTACATTTTATATTTATATTTAATTGAATATTCCATTCCATGCACACTTGCTGTAAATAATATCCTGCTTGTATTGTGTTGTGTTTATTGTGTTAACAGAAAATTGGCCCTTCAATAGTGTTTTTATTTGTCAGTTTATGGATTTGTTATCTTCACGGTCATCTGTATATTTGTCTTGCTCTCTAATGCTGGTTTATTTCTATTTCTATTTTAGAATTGTTTATTTTACTCTTTTAATTTGTTATTATTTGCAATGCCTTGTTTTGTTTTATGCTGCTGCAACAAAATAGTTTTCCCAAATTGGGATTAATAAAGAACATCTTATCTTATACTTCAGATCCTCAACATTTACCTGCGATGGCAACGACGCACTCCGGCTCCACTGCCTGGCCTCCTTCATCCAGAAAGATGTGGGTAAAATGGTCCACAGGTAATTCCCCAGACACCAGTCTCAAGACAGAAACACACAACAGAAATGTTAAACTAGCAATAAGCAAGTGCCTTAAAGTGTGTAACATTAAAGAATGATGCCATTGAGTCCTACATTGAATAATGACTCAATTTGAAAAGCAACCTACCTGCCAGCTGTGACCAGAGTCGTAACAATGATCGTGTATTTCATCAGAGTTTTTTTCTCTGGAAACACAAACTTATCTTCTCTCTTGTCCCAGTTACAATATTTCTGGAAGAAAATTGAGACAAGAGGACGCGTAAGAATGAAGAAAATTAATGGTTATTTAAACATGTAACCATTTTCCATCCAACCATCCTTAAATGAAAAGCAGACGAATAAATGATACCTGTTAATTTCAGACTCTTCTATTTTTTTATTATTGATCTACACAAGAGGGTAAAAAGGCAGCACTTATACAACAATGCTTTTGACTATATGCAGAAAATAATATGTTCTTAACTTTGGTTACTAATGTCACCAACATGTGGATGTAACAACTGCAATGAGGAATCACTGTGCTATGTGAACATATTTCAATCTCCGTTTACATTTTTCAAACCTAAACATATTATGGGCCCTACATACATATAGTATGGTAACAAATGAGTGTGCTGAATCACAGACTATCGAAGCTCAAATCTGTTGGTAGAGATGTTATCCCCAATAAGAGCTGATTCATGGCCAGTAACCAGATTATCTTGTGGATGATAAAATGCCAGCTGATGCTCACCAGCAGGTCGGCAGGGACAGTTCTGGGGTTTCGGCTGCTGGCGTACATGCGGTAGATGCGATGAGGGTCCATGTGGACCATCAGTCTCTCACAGAGGAGGTCCCCTGCGCTGTTTGAAGGGGCACAGGCCAGGATTCTGGATAATGGGTCTGCCTTGCTGACCTGTCGACGTGAGAAAAGTCTAATTCATCTCTTTGAATTAAGTTATTTTTATGCTTTGCTGATAATAAAAAACAACAACAGTGTCAGATTAAGTAGCAAATTGAATGTCCTTGAAGCAACTGGAGCTGCAACAATTAGTCGATTTTTTTCTAAATGAATTGGTTGGAGTGCTTGCTTTTCTCTTTTTCAACTGAATATCTTTGGGTTTTCAACGAACAAAACAAGACATTTATAGAAGTCAGTTTTCTTGCATTTTAGAAAACCAAAAATGTATTCTATAAAATATTTAAGCAGACTAATAAATATTGGAAATCATCGTTAGATTCAGCACTTCAATCAACAATGAAACCAGATGCATTATTTCATTTGACCTGTCATAGTCAAACTGTCCCTCTGCAAAATTATATATTTATGATTAAGTATGCAACTTCTACATGCGTATTCATAAATGTAAGAAAAGTTTTAAATTATATCTGCTTCCTTAGGACTTTGTGGTTGTTTTGAACAGATGACTCACAATGGTGTCTCCTAGGCAGCCCAACAACTGTTCACACATTTCTGATTCTTTTGTTGTTAAAATGGGACGGCAGGTGGAAATAGTCAACATCACCAATTTTTCAACAAAAAGAACCTCTTTAAACAAATAAGAGGGGCTCAGAAAATCAAAGAAATCTGTATCATGATACTGTGTTTGTATAAGACCTGCCACTAACCATTTTGTTATAACTTATTAATTTCTTGATTATTTGTTAGGTTTATTCGAAAATAAGAAAGATTGGCCATTAAAATATCCAACACTTCCAACGGTATGTCATCTCTTTTCGTCCATGAAACAGTCAAAACTATCCCACCATTGGATTTAATGAGAGGATGATTCAGTTTTGAGGGTTTAATCAGTCTAGTTATGTCACACTTTCAACAACACATACCTGATGCATAGCTTCAACCAGAGTGATTGTCTTTCCAGTTCCAGGGGGCCCAAACACAAGATGAGGGGCGGGCTTTGACGACCCGGCCACGATGCGCTGGACGGCAGCATGTTGCTCCGGGTTGTTCTCCAGCTGACGGTTGAACATACTGGAGAGTCATGTGAGAATGTTGAATAAAAATATATATATATATAAATGTAGACGAAAATGTCATTTGTATATGTATAATCAGACAATACACGGTCGTTACAGAACCGGATGTGAACTTTGTCACAAACATAATCCTCCATATATGACCCATATCTAATCCAGGCAAGTTCACAGCATTAAACCAAATAACCCGTTGGTGCGATAGAGTGAATTAGTGCCCAGAGAGAGCTGAGGTGAAGGCTGCTGAGCACTCACTCATCATTTGGAGTTTATGCACTCTTATCACAAAAATCAGACAGTTTAAGCTTCTATAAGAACATGAGATACTGCGCTTTAAGGTGCTTAGGTCTATGTATCTGTACCATACAGTCTATGGTACATACATGATATTGAATCTACCTTCTTTGGGCTCACACAAAGCCATGTAAATATATTTATCCATTATGATAGATTATCTTAATTCATTCCTGTATACATGTAGGCGTGTTGCGTAGTGGGTAGTGCGTTGGTGATCGGATCAGTGGGGCGCAGGTTCAAACCCCACTGCAGTCAGCATGTCGTTGTGTCCCTGGGCAAGACACTTCACCCCAAATTGCTCCTGTGGGGATTTAGTCCAGCAGCAAGTCCTCAAAAAAGGCTTTAGTTTTTGAGATACCCCTACCCGAGGTAGAACAAATGACAACAATGATTTTTCTTATCTTTAGGGTCTCCCATTAATGAAATTGATTGTTGTCAAATTTTATTTTGGGGGAAAAAATGTTTTTTGGGTTGTTCTTTAGAACTACCCCAATCCCTGAAAAAGAGCCAAATTAGACCAGGCCGAATATGGGAAAGGTGACAAGAAAGCCCATAACTTGAGAAAGGCCACTCTTTTCCTCTTCAGATTTGCTGAGGTATGAACCAGGTGGCTGTCCTACATCACCAAATAGTCAGAAAATGATTTAACTAAAGAAATACTGAATTATAGTCCTGTAAACTTAGCTTTAGTTTAGACGGAAATTGTACTTTTTGGTGATAGGAACATAGGATTCAATCACTTTTCTCTCATTTATCAGAAATACTGAATTGTCTAGGGTGCTATTGAACACTAACCAGTAGTTGTATGGACATATCTGGTACAGTTCTATTGCAAATGAGATTTCTTTAGACATAGGCCTACCTCTTCTCTGATACAGTCAAACTCCGAATGGGGGAGAAGTGGCACAATAGCCTATAAAGTTAAGAATGCTCACTCTGATGGTGCCCTAACCGAAATCGTTACTTTCCACGAAATGTTTAATGTATAAATCAATAATAATAATAATATTACATGAAAAGAGTGCATACCACAACTACCCTGTATAGAGCGAGAGTAAGGCTACCGGACGGCGTCGTACCATGTGATCTCGTACTATGGTTTGTACATAACCGAACGGGGTATTACATATACCTCGCATGAAAGGTGTGGACGACAGTAGTCTGGAGTGTTCTACGACCGCTTCCTATACTGAGACGTTCTACATACCGTAACTCGTGGTAGGAACAGACGGAGTAAGGACTAGTGACGCCCAATAGATGACGACCTACAAGTCTAGACGACTTTGTACGTTCGTACCGTTACTCTCTCTCTATACAGGGGTAGTTGCGTGGCGTACACTCTTTTAACCTTTTCTGTACAGATTGAACAGAATGGCGTACAGACCGTGAGTGACCGGAAAAACGTGTTGTTCATCAAACCATGTCTTATCCTTTCTGTTAGTCGTAGTCGTTCGTAGCAACCCACTGGGACTTGGTCTCGACAAAGTCACGAACAGCACCGCCTTGCCTTTGGCCTGACCTTAAAGAGTTTCTCGGGCAAATCAACCTCTACCAGGACTTCGACCCGCTGTTGATTTTACTCACAGATGGTCGTACACGTATGTGCAAGTGACCCCGACACCGTGTTGTTTAATCAAACATGTCTTATCCTTTCTGTTGTCGTAAGTGGTTTGAGTTCCTGGGTGTAGTCGCTCGAGTCTTATCTCACGACAGGGTAAAACCTGAGAACGGTCGAGCTTCTCCAGAAAACGGTCAGCGTTCTCTTAAACGCGAAGACGATATACCTTTTTTTCCTTTAACCCTGGACTACACGTGTTTGAACCTACTTGAGCTCCCAAGTATTAACGTAGTTGTTGTCTACCGTCGGAGCCCTTTTTTAAGACCGGCGGTTGTCTCCTACGTAAAGTTGTTGTAACATTTCTCGTTACAAAGTCTGTCGCCTATACCACAGTGTCCGGCTTGGGTTTGGGGAACACTACCTCAGGACAACGTCCCCACCTAACAAGTCCTACCCGGGTAAGTTGTCACCATAAATGTTTTTTTGGGTAGTGGATGCTCTTCACTCTCTGTAATGAGTGGGAACATAACGTTTCTACGTTTTCACACCTCTCATCACCTTTCACGTCCAGGAAGACACGGAAGGGACATGAGGGGACGTGGACGACACGTCTTACAGTTTTACACAGGGGGATTGCAGAGACTCCCTTGGACTGTAATTGTAGTATAAGATCTATAGATAATAGTCCCAACCCGTTTGAGTTAAAAAGGAGCGACCGGTGTAATCTCTAATACCAAGTGAGTTTCCCCGGCCACTTGAGTTCTGATATTTTCATATGTATCTATTTTATAATTATATATATTTTATTACATAATAAAAATGTCATAAAGGAAGACGTAACCTAATAATAGATCAATTAGTTGAAGTTAATTAATTGATGCAGACTTTCGTCTTCTTTTGCCCGTTTAATTACGTTCAGAAAGTCACGCGTAAAGTCTTTTTACTCTACGTAACACCTGTACACTCTCTCGGCACAGGACATTTCGCCGTACAATTGGAATATTATTGACTAATATAAGAAGACGTTTCGAGAGCACCCGGTGTATTTACTCTCACGCCCCGGCCTAACCGGAGGCCCGGAAACTCAAACTGTGGGGACTAGATATATGAACTGGAGAGTGTCTTAATAAACTACTTAACATATGACATGAAATTAATTCCAAGGTCAAAAGTTATTTTGGACATGATAAATGTGGATACAAAAGAACGGCCATTCGACACGTCTAAACTGTCGATTATCGTGAAAGTAAAATAACTCAATGAGAATAAAGAACTGATAAACCCCACCACACATCAAGTGCCGTGGGACATAGAGAAGGGAGAC